ATCGTATGCGACAATTGCGCGTCGACAATACCACTCTCAAAGACCAGTACCGGGCATTGCAAGATGACTATCGCACGGCACAACATGAGATTCGAAAATTGCAATTGCAAAATGACAATAGTAACAAGACTCCCGACCAGACAAAAGCCATGGAAAAGTTGCGCGACAAGAATATGGAACTCGAAGTGGAGAATCGGGCCATGACACACAGCCTCAAACGCGTCAATGATCAAGTAGCGGCACTGGAAACCAAATGTACCAAACTGGAAGATCGCAATCGAAATGTCGAGGCACAACTGGCGGCCACCAAACGAAGAGCTAGTGTCAGTGGCGGAGATGTGGCACAACTGGCAGCTCTGTTGCAAACGGAAAATCAGCAATTGCGCACTGCCAAGGAGGCGCTGGAGAAACAGATGCAGCAACAACCCAAGAGTAGTACAAAGAGTGCCAGCGCGCAACAACCAGACTCGGAGACAAAACTGGCCAAGCTCCAATCCGTACTCGACGCCACCAAAAAGCAACTCCAGCACGCGCAACAAAAATGGGCCGATGCCGACATTCATCATCAACACCAAATTCAAACTCTTACGCGCGACAAGAATCAACAATTGCAAGATTTGACACTCAAGTTGGATGCAGCAGTCCGAGAGGCGCAAGATCGAGCGCAACGCGATTTCATGGCATCGCAGTCGACGCAATCCATGTTACAAGAACAGTTGGAGGAAGAACGACAACAACATGCGAGTCAACAACAAACAGAAATTGTCAAGGCTGTGCGAGCCAACACGGACCAACTTGAAGCGGAGCATGAACGAAAGCTCCAGGAACAAGTCGACCGTCAACAAGCGGAGAGTGCCAAAGAATTGGCAACTGCACAAGCCAGGTACGAGGTTCAATTGGCGGCATTGGAGGCCAAGCAGGGGGGCCTAGAGGAAATTTATCAAAAAGAAATGTCCGAATTGGAAGCCAAACACGAGAAACTCTTGATGGAAAAAGGGGGCCAGTTGGCCGAAGAGCACAGCAAAGTGAAACGACTGGAACAACGGCTAGGGGATCAAGAAGGGGAACTCGATCGTTTGAAGAAACGCGTGGAAGATCTCGGGACGGAGAAGAAAAGGCTCAAGGCGGAGTTGGCGTCCTCTCAACATCTAGCAGCGACAACCGATCATCAACTGCAAGAGGCACTCGAAACGCTGGGAGAGCTCGAAACCAAACTGCAGGTCGTGGGCCTATTCAAGAAAGCACGCGAGGACGCAAAGGGCAACGACAAGGGCCAGACATCGCGGGGTTTGGCATCTCCATCTTCTGTAGCAGACGATCCGGCGGAGCCACTTCCAGATATTGACGCCATTATGTTGAAGCAGCTTGCCAAAGCCAAGACGGCCAATGCCAAGACTCATGGCGAGCTTCAAACAGTGATTGAGTATAACATCTCCGAGTTAAAAGACATCCACGAAAGCATGCAAGGAGGTATCACCCAGGCCAACTGTGAAATCAAGGCATTGGAAACCGGAATGGACGACTTGAAGAAACTGCAACGCGAGGTAGCCCAACTCGATGCAGCCAACAAGAGTGCCAATCGGCAAAAGAAGTCCCTCGAACGGAAGCTAGCAGATTCGCAGGATAAACTTGATACAGCGAGCAATGTCGTCAAGAGGCTGGCAGGGGACAATGAGAACTTACAGCGAGAATTGGTTGGGGCTCAACTGGATCGTGACGACTCGCAAGAGAAGCTGGAAAAGGTGACGAGTGATTTGGAACAGGCTCGTGATGACTTGAAGGTGGCGCGGGACGAATCGGAAAAGGCGTTGCAAGCGATGGATGACACTGCTTCGAAACTGAGAGAAGCTATTGGGAAATGTCGGGAGTTAGAAGGGATAGTTGAGCAACAGAAGCACACAATTGCGCAGCTGGAAACCAACGCACTGGAGGCTCAAAGGGAAAAGGCAAGGTTGGAAGCAAAGATCGATGATGGTCAGCAGAGGCACAGAAGCATGGAGAGCGCCAATGACCGAACTGGTGAAGCGCTGAACGCGGTGAATGACGCCCTTAAGAAGTCACAAAGGGAGGTCGACAAGCAACGCAAAGAAATTAGCCGCCTCGAGGAAGACCTGACAACTGCAAACGACGAGGTGGAGGAACTTCGAAAGGCGGCCAAAGAGCACACAAAGCAAAACGCCCAAGATGTGCAAAACTTGAGGAACGAACGAAGCAGTCTCAAGGCCGCCAAGGATGAAGCGCTGGCTGAACTGGAAGAGACCAAACATCAAGCATCCAAGTTGCAGAGCGCGGTCGATCGAGACCGAAAGAAGGTATCCAGACTGGAGGAAGAGCTCTCTGAGGCCAGAGATGATATCGAGGATTTGGCCAAGAGGAACGATACATTGAAGAAAAAGCATGAAAAAGATCTGGGGGATCTAAAATCAGAGCGGGGCTATCTACGAGCTGAAATCGAGAAATTGAAGAGGGAAAATAGCAATATGGAGGCTTCAAAGGCTGAGTCAATGGAGCTGATTGACGAGTATGGGCCAAAGCTGAAGGAGCTGGAAGAAACGCGGAAAAGACTTGAAGCCCAGACAGAGTTTTGGGCAGCCAGAGAGGCTGAACTCACCAATGTTATAGCGGAACTTCAAGATTCGGCTGCAGAAACTGAACGCGAAGTCAGACAGTCTTACGAAACACTCAAGTCAGAAGTTGCTGCCAGCCAAGAAGCGAAAGAGAACGCCTTAAAGACGCAGAGCAAAATAAGCAAGGAATTGCAAGATGCTCAACAAGAAACGAAAGCGCTTTCTGATCGCAACCAAGACCTGAAGAGGCAGCAAATGAACAAAGATCAAGAGCTGGAGAAGCTTCAGTGGGAATTGGATGCGAAGACGAAGGAAAACGAGTCATTGAAAACGAAAACTGCGCGTCTGGAAGCTCTGGTGGGCGAAACAAATAATGAGCTCGAAACTGTTAGAGGTGAGCTCGGCAAGCTGAAGAAGGATATGAGATCCGAGGTGTCCAGACTGGAAGATCTCGAGAGGGAGGCCAAAAGACAACTTGATGCAGCCCGGTCTGATTTAGGCGCAAAGAAAAAAGAAGTTGATTTGCTGAAGTCAGAAATGTCAGAACTGGAGGCTTCCCAGAACAACACGAAGAGAGGTCTTACCAAAATCAAGCAGAAGTTGGAAGAAAAGGAGGACGAAAATGACGCTTTGAAAGATGAAGTCGACTCCTTGAAAGCCCAAATACGACGAGAGGAAAAGCTGCAAGCCCAGCTCGCTCAACAGCCACGAGCAGTGAGCCGTGAGATTGACAGTCTAGCAATGGCTACGTCACGAGATTTGCCCAAGCATGTTGACGACAAACGTGACGAGGAAATAAGGAATCTACAAAAGAGTTTGAACGAACGACGGCTGGCCCTCGAAAACCTTGAAGACAGATACCAGGATCTCAGCAAGACTCACCAGGGGCTGGTCAAAGCGTCGAGGGATGCTGCTGTGGCACTTTCGCAGCAGCTGGACGAGCGTACCACAGAGCTAAACGACCTTGGCAAGAAATCTCGGAAAGCCCTGAAGGAAAACGTGACATTGAAAGAAAGGCTCCGCGTGGCCGAGGAACAAAAGCTAAAGGACACGTCAGCCTTGGAGCAATCAAATCGAGAATTGCAGGCCGCCCTTGCTGATATCAATGCGCTCCGTCCTGTTCAAGAACGAGCTTCGCTTGAACTCGAGGAAGTTGGGGCTATCCGAGACGCTGCCCAGGAATCTTTGAAGAAGGCCGAAGCCCGCGTTGATAGTATGCGTGATCTGCACGAAAAAGAGAGCAGGGCGAAGAACGAGAAGATTGAACAGTTGGCCAAGGATCTGCTTGAGGCCGAGAGGACTGCAAGAGGGCACGAGCGTCAGTTTGAGGAAGCAAAGTATAAGTTGAGGCAAGCTGCTCTTGACACGCAGAAGTTACATAAAGATCACACTGCTGAAGTCAATGCGCTGAACGCGCGTCTGTCGGAGCTTCAAGAAAGTCTTGACGGAGCAAAGAAGGAGCATTCAGAACTGGAAACGATAAAAAATGACGTTGATTCGCAGTTGAAACGTTCGGAAACCCAAGTGGAATCGCTACGGGAGAAGCTCGCATCGCACAAGAAGGAGTTTGAAGGTCGTGACCGTGCACGTCAGATTGCCTATCAAAATCTTGTGAACAGGGCAAAGAAGCTGGAAAAGGACTTACCTGAGGTCATCAAAGAGCGAGACGTGGTGGACAAGCAATTGGAGCAAATCCGTCGAGAGTTAGCTGATGCTTTGTCCAACAAATCAGACCTACAAGCTGCACTCAAGAAGGCAGAATCGGATTTGGCCGCTGTCGCACGTGCTTTGGCGGAAGAGATCCAGAAGGTCTCAAAGACTGGCGCAAATGAACTAAAGCACGGGGGTCCAATGGACTTGGTTGAGAAGGTGAAAGCAGCACTGCGCAATGCGATTGATGGTCGCGAGGACGCAATCAGGTCTCGAAAGGCTTACGAGGATGCCTTCGACGAGTCCAAGGCGCTGGCTAGAAGCCTCGGGGGGATAATCGAGAAGAAGGACCAGAGATTGGCCGAACTTCAAAACACTTTCGACCAGGAAAAGGCAATGTTGATGGCTGAGTTGAATAACCTTGATGCTGTAGTTCAGCAAATAGCCGCCGAGAACAATAAACTGGCCAAGCTCCTTGAATCCGAGCAAAGAAAAGCAGAGAACGAGGGGAGGTTGTTCAATAGTCACTTGAAGAATGCAAGGAGAGACAGAGAGCTCTTGAGTGGTCAGAACAACTCACTGAAGAAATCATTGAACGATGCGGCCACCGCTGCTGCCAAGCTAAAAGACAAGGCCGAAAATCAATCACGTGTCGATGACGATTACAAGTCGCTCCAAAAAATGAATCAATCCCTTCAGAAATCTCTCGAAAGGGCAACGTCTGTCATCAAAGAGATGAACAATCCACAACGTGATCTGAGCAAAGTAGCTGACGACAGAACGTCAACTTTGGAGGCTGCTCTCGACGAGAAGGAAAGTAGATTACACGAAGCACTGCGCCAATTGCAGGAAGCAGACGAAGACAACGAAGCGCTGCATGCTGAAGCAGTGAAACTGAAATGGTTCCTAGATGAGTTCTTGAGTGAGGCGAAACAATTGGTAGAGATTCTGAGCGACAACGTAAATGAAAACGAGCCAGAGTCAGCTCGACCGAACTCGAGGACACGAAGCGTTTTAGCAAGACTCGAAAGTATTGTCAAGCACATGGAGACAGGCGTCGGAAGTCATCTCCAGCAGCACAAGGAACATGTCCAGTCACGGCCGCATAAGCAGCATCGCACACGCAGCCCCGTACTGCCTTCTGCGAACCCGGCCGATGCCGAGAAAGAGACACTCGGAACCGAAGAAGGAACAGTACTCTACGACGACAATGATGAAGCCGGGAACAGCCATCAAAGTGCCAATCCGGCCTCCGATGGTGAAGGTTCTCAGATTTCAAGTGACAATAGCAACGGATCGAGGAAAACCCCCTCACCAGTGGCGGCACGGGAGCTCGATCAAGCTGCGTATGTACGGGAACGCTTGGCCAAGTCTGCGGCGGCACTGGTGCCTCGTGCGCCTTCATCCGCAGCATGGAGGACAAAGGAGTGGCTATTGAAATCGGGAACGAATCCACGCATGCTCCACAACACCGCACCAGACGCTCATCAGAGGGGCACAAAGTTGGATGCCCCCCACGCTTACTACAAAGGTCCCAAAGCCAGTTTTGTGCCTAGTAGAGGCTCAACGGCTGATCGACCGAGAAGTTTTGTTACAGGGATTACGCATCCTCGAGGGATTGGTGCAAAGTCTCCGGGCAACAGCGTGCACCAAGAGGACGTGGATACGGGAGTGTCTGTTGGTGGCACAGAGCCTCATGGGGAAGACACAAGTTCAAAACTAGATAGAGCTCGATGGGGAGCTCGACAGTAATCTGATGATCGGTGGTGGGTGCAGTGGTACCATAATATCTAGGTCCGGGAGTCAAATCGCCTTTTTGTGGCCCCCGGCGGTAACAAGCTAGCTAGACGGTCGACTTTGAACAAAGTTGTTGCTACTGCTTTTGCCTCTCATGAAACTGGCGCTTCCGTGAGGACTATCATGACACGCGATTCCGCCGTCAATCCCAGAGTATTGCGTTGGTTTTGTTGGGCTGTTGTCACCTCCATGACACCCGCGAGACCGGCAGCCCCTGACGGAGTGGTCTTGTACCCTGCAGTTTCTGCGCACTCCACTCCATCTTGCCCGGATTGTTCTGAAATGGTTATGAAATAATCCGCATCTCGGGCCAGCCCCTTGAGGGCAATGAGAGAAGGCTCTTTGCAATCGAGGCGTCCCATGCAGGATAAATCTCCCTTAGCAATGACTGGCTTTCCGGCTACCATAGACTCCAACAATGCCGGTGCTTCTTGCGGCTCCACCACTATAATCCTAGTCTTATCCCCCCAAACTTTACGTGCATAGGCAGCACAGGCCGCAGCCATGCCTCCTACTCCTGCTTGAAGAAACAAATGCGTGGGTGGTTGTGGGATTTGCTGGACGGCTTCGTGCATCAAAACCAAATAGCCCTCCATGACTCGGAGAGGATAGTGAAAGCTGTAGCCCAACCAGGAGCTATCGGAAAGTAGAACCATACTTTGGTCATGATTCATGTTTTGGGACACTGCGTGCTCAGCGGCTTGCATACTCTCTTCGTAGGTGGTTCCCTCTCGTATCACTGTTGCTCCAAATTGCTGCTCGAGACGAGTGGCAAAGGACGGAGCGACAGATTCGGCCAAGTATATAATGGCCTTGGCGCCAAAAGCTTTGGCCCCTGCTGCGACCGACAGCCCATGATTTCCAGCACTGGCCGTGACGTAAGTTCGTCCAGGAGCTTTTGAGGCATCCGAGGCAATGGCATAGGCTGCACCCAGTGCTTTGAAACTGCCCATTCCAAGTCGATTTCGCTCATCTTTGATGTACAGTTGTGCCACTTGAAACTGTCGGGCCAAGTCTGGGGCACATGCCAGAGGAGTTGGACCATGCTGGTTGGCAACCGGGCATTGGCGTAACAAGAAAGCTGGTTTGGTGGCGTCGTCACTGGGACAAGGGATGGATGAAAGAGATGCCAAGACTTTCTGAGCCACCGCTTCGGTGTTTTCCAGTACTTGCATGGACGAGGACAAGAGTCTACACTGAGTAGACGATCGCCTTGTACTGCTCCGCATGAGGCCGTGATGACACTTGGCAATAGACTGCATCATTGCCAGTATAATCCTTCTATATGACCTCTCACTCCAAGATCTGGAAACGTGCGCAGCCTGAGAGTGGAAGGTTCAGGACCGGCAATGGATCGCTCAAGATCCAAGATCCAAATTTTGGACTCGGCTCAAGTGAAGACTCTGGCTGGATCTGGTCTACCACTGGCTGTTCACAGCTGACAACTATGATCCATAGCTGGCTTTGTATGATAGTTTCCAACAACTCACAGAGAGGACAACCTCGATTGTGCTTCTGAACTGTTGGAAAGAGCCCTACTAGCTAGTATGAGATTGTGGGAGCTGCCGGTTTCTTCATTGGTAGACGGAAGTATCTCTACGGAAAGCATGTTTTAGCTACCGGTAGCTAGGCAATTCGCTGGGGATCCTTTTCTGCACAAACAGCGGCAAGATCAGGTATCTTTCGATGATCGCACGACGTCCCATTGTTCTGTGGGCTTATTGAGACCGCATGCGAATCTTTTTCCCCTTTTCAGATCACGGAGATAGAAAATACGCAACGAAGGAAGGACTTTGCAGCAGCGACCCACAATAGCACTCCACACAAGTGGGAAGCAGGGCAAGTCAATTAAAAGACATCGCTATTTCATATCACCATCGCATTATCCACTCAAAACTACATTATGCACCGCGTCCACACCCATCTCGCGAGGACAGCAAGACTTGCCAGTCGAGCAAGGTCTGTCCGAATATCCTTGGCCGTCATCAGTGATCCATCGAGTACCAGTAGTAGAATCACCAGCAATAGCTGCAGTCGCAGTTTCGCTACCGACAAGAAACCCGACTGGATGATAGAAGCCGAGCTCGAAGCCATCGCTGCCACTAACGCACGTGCTATAAAACAGGGAACCGCCAACGATGTTGTCATGGGCAAGCTGAAGCACGAGTTGGACAGGGAAATTATTTCGAATGCCATCAAATTGGAAGAAAAATTGGTCATGATTATACAAAAGTGCAACGATGCCAAATCGGGGGCCATGGTGGATGCCCGCGGTCGTGCGGTCTACAACGCGCTTCGGAAAAAGGCATTGGCAACACGGCAAGATTTGATTACGCAAAAGGAAGCAGCAGGAATGGTGACGGACGCAACATCTATGGTCGAATCTGCCCATCCCATTCCAGCTTCCATGTAGGAATTTTAGGGGGGTTAGGCACCGGAAAGGGGGAGAGAGAAGAGAGGAGGAGGATTCCTAGTTCCTCTCAGCTTTGGGGGTGGTGGTATCGTCCTATGACTTCAAAGGTTTCTACCATCCTCAACTCTAACCAGCTCGGCAGAAAAAGAGGGGAGAAGGCAGAACCAGGGCTTCCCCTCCTCCAAAGTGTCAGCTTTCTTTCTTTTTGACAAGAGAAGCTTGGATCTTCCAGCAACTCTGGGAGGCCGCACCTGTACACGTGTACCGGTAAGTATATATTTGGCTGCCTTTGCCCATCCATACCGGTACTGTAACTACATGTAATACAATGGCTGGTTTTGTGTTTGTTTGCATGTTTTACAAGAGTGTCGCTAGACTAATTGGTTAATAATACGATCTGTCCTCATGGGGGTGCTACTGTCGGACGTCTGCCAAGGAGCTGTCCGTCTTCAATCACTTTATTTACTTCGATCGGTTCCTCATGATCTGATCATTCCTCCCACTCAAGTGTCGATCAATGAGTGACGTGCGCTTGCTATTCTGCACTGGTGCACGAGGAAGGATGGGAACACAGCACCACACCAAACATCCCGATAGGAAAAAGAGCAAAATTCCCGACATGACCACCACCATTCCCGCGAGGAATGGATTTTCCTCAAAGTCGAGAATGCTTTGTACCTTGGCAAAGAGTTGATTTTCAGAGGATTCGGTGGACGAGACACTGCCTCCTTCTTCATCCACCAAGTTTTGTTGAATATTTCCGGCACCATCATCGTCGGGACAATAGCGACCATCGAGACAGGGGAGTGTGGTATTGAGAAAGGTACAACCCGTGTAATACTGCCGCGCCCAATCGCACTTGTACTCGGCTTCTTCAGTAGTCATTTGACACAATTCATTGGCATCGGGGTAGCCATCATCGTCGTCACCATTGTTTTGCTGTTCTTGATCAATGCACGCCGTGCAATAGCCCGTGTTACCACTGGTGGTGCTAATGATGGCATCGTAAAAGTAGGGGAATCCATTGCCATAATTGAGTGACATGAAATAAGAGGCATCCGCCTCCATAGCGCAGTACTCGTCAAAAAATGCTCCCAAAAAGACATCTCCGGAATCCGTGTCGCAGTAAGGACCGACAAAGAATTGGATTTCGCCATTGTTGTTGTTGTAATTATTATTGTTGTTGTTGTTGTTATTATCACCGTTTTGTCCGCCGTACGCTTGACGACATTCGAGGTACTCTTGCAACTGGAAGGACTCTTCATTTCCGTAGTACGAATCCATGCAATCGACAATTCCCGCATTGGAGTAGCAATTGTAGAGACAACTTTCCCAGGTGTAACCACCCGAACAGTAGCAGTGTTCCTTGACGTATTCGCACTGCTGTTCTTGTTGTTGTTGCATTTGCTCCGAGTAGACTTCCAAGAATTCCAGCATGTCCATGGCGTACTCTCCCACGCAGTCATTGCTGTCGCAGCCAGAACTGGCGCAGAGCGTAAAGCGGACCAACTGGTTCTTGTAGCCGTACACTAGGTTGCCGTCTTCGTAGTACTGGTAGTAATTGTTGTTGTCTCCTCCATCGTTGTTGCCACCGTAGTTGGCATTGCTGGTACGGAACGACGTACAGCCCAAGTACTTGATGTACAAGAGGGACAGATCGTAAATGCCATCTTCATTGTCGTAGTAATAGTACCCGTAGTTGCCATTGTTGTAGCCACCACCGTTGTCCTCCAGTCGACGCAGAAGCTTGGTCACTAGGCTATCACCACTACCTACTACACATGTTGGTATATTCAGGAGTGCCAACAGAAACAGCAGAAGAGGGTAGCATACGGAACAAGCTGTCATCATCGTCATGGTGAACAAAGCTGTTGCAATGTTGTCACTGGTCAAGCCACAGAAGTGATATTGTGACGGTTAGATTTGTAGCTATGGTTACATAGAAGTGTCTCGAGTGCGATACCCCAATCTAGCGATATTGCTTCTAAATACACACCGTCAAGACATTTAAAAATAACTGGCGTGAACAGGAAGAAAACCGTGGGAGAGCGATGGCTCGTCGGCGTCAAGTTCCGAGTCTAAACCGCTTGGTACTAAAGCTGCTTCGATGGCTTGTTAGTCACAGTGTAGGCGACGACTTTTTGAAAGAGACGGCATCGTTCAGCATGATGCTTGGAAGGAATATTATTGGACACACCTACCTGTCAACTTGGATTTCTGTCTGTGATAGGGCAAGTTGGGAGCAGCCTTGTCCAACTCTACTAGCTACGGTAGCCAGCCAGTTACATACATTACATGTATTCCTGTGGCTTTGTATGGATTTGACTGATCAGCCAAGACACTGAGGCATGCTGTTTTGAACTCGGTCTACCGGTATAGCTACGCTACTGTTAAAAGGGGAGAATCTTGCAAAGAAAAGTAATCAGAGTGAGCACTTGCATTGGGTCACCGTGAAAGATGGATCTTTGGACTGCCATGCATCATGTATGTGAAGGCCCCAGATCATTTTTACTACGTTATGCAATGCCAACCTACCGTATTGTAGTGTATGGTAGAATAGTATCGGGATATCTATGTAGGTACCAAACTTGCTAACCTAGCTAGAGAGTAGCTACGAATCCACAAGTACATCATCATACGGTACTCTTCGGATCTTCACGGTGGAGTGTCTCATCTTACTGTAATGTAAGCCCGTAGAGCCGCATAGTTTTGAATCTTTGGGGTGGATCTTTGGACCTTGGCGGCCATCTTTTTCCATGGAAAGAGCACACGATCTTCTTGGTTGTCTTTGTTGATCGATATATAAGTACGGTATTAGTCTAGCTAGTGGAGCAGCATTGGAGCTTGTAGACTAGACTAGCTGCCTTGGTGATTGTCGTGTGTACGGTACGGTATCATGGCGGATAGTGTGTGTGCTATTCTTGGCTGTTCTTTGGAATACGCCGAGAATTTGTTGGCGGCGGCGGGAGGAAATGTCGAATTGGCCGTTTCTCTCGGATTGGATGGTGGAGATGGAGGAGGAGGAGATGGTGGAGGATTTGCTGATGTTGGAGCAGCTGATGGTGGTGGTGTAGCTGATGGAGACAAGAAGCGCAAGATGGATGAGTTTACAGCTCCGTACAAAGGCTACGAAAAGATTTGGGCAGAAGTGTCTCCTCTGCCCGATTCTTGGAAGAACCAACGCTTGGATGCTTGGACAGACACAGACGGTAGTAGTAGTACTATTGTCCAACCACTCAATGGACCTTGTGGAGTACTGGCTGTTGTTCAGGCAGAGCTGTGGTTGTTGGAGCAACAGCAAGACAACAAAGACAGAGACGCGTGTCTGACCCAAGCCATTCACAACATTTTGTCTCGTATTACTTCGTCTAGTGCTACTGATCAAGACAAGATGATGATCCAAATGGCCAACGGAACTCAAGTATCTTTGGACGACGCATCGACGCAAATTCGAACGGCCACTCAATTGGTTGAAGCCGCGGCGTGTACGTACGGCATTGCCCAGATCCGATCGTCTCTCGTGGAAGGACCTCATTGGCTCTGTTCGGCCGATCTACTGTCGCTTCTACTACGAGGCAACATTGCCAATACCAACATTTCATGCTTTGGAGCATTTGATCCTGTTCACAAGAAAAAGCAGCCATTTTACACAAGTACAAACACCAGTAGTACAAACAATCAAATTGGACTCTTGTCCATGATGGAAATTGACGAAGGCATTCCCGTCGCGGACGATCTCAAATTCCAAAAGACGGTTTGGATATTACACACGGGAGATCACTTTGTCACCATGCGACAGACATCAAAAACACAGAACAACGACGACAACAATACAATTCACATGGAAATTTACGACGGTCTGCAACCCAACGGTCCCATCACCAAGCACTACGCCATCACGGGCGACACGTCCGTGGCGGACCAAGCACCCGCCCAACACGTCGAAACCTTTCGCAAAAAACGTGTCGGACAACCCGACGATATCGTACAAGCCAAAAAACACGATCATCCGCACTATCAGGATTGGACCTACGAAGTCGTTCCCGCCGTGGACGATCCCGATGTTCAAGGAACGTTGGATGACGATCCCAACGAACCCGTCTACGAGTTTGCGACACTCTCCCTGCCAAGTGACAATTGGCGCTGTGCCACGTGTTATGCCAATCGATTCAAAACCATGAATTTTGGGACCAACACTGCTGGTACTACCGCGTGCGAAGTTTGTACGACGGCCATTCGTGACGCCATGTGGTCCCTGTGGTTGCCGTTCTCGCAATTGACGCCGCGCATGAAACGACGTGCCCGCGTCATGTACGCACCCAAATTGGAAATGGTACTCTCCACACTCTACCCCAAGGCCGATATTACTGTAACAGGAGATGGGGCGGCTTTGTTGAAGAAGTAGGATTGATCATCAAATATTATATAAATGCAAAATGACGACAAGTTTTAAAAAATGACAAGCGAGTGAGGTCGGCTCAGCCTTGCTATTCTTCCGGCCCGATACCTCTGCATGTGTGGCTCCCGTGTCCCTGCTGGCACAATGAGCTACCGCCGTTCTCTCTGGGATGCCGATGGTGCACTTGCACTCTTTCGCTAATCCTTCCCCCTTTTACTCCCTCTCGACTTCCCCTCTAGTACTTCCTCCTTTTGCTCCCTGCTCTCCCCCCCCTAGCTCCCTTTTGCCCTGCTCCTGTCCTCCCCGCCCACTCTCCCAGTACTACCTGGTCCCCACTACCGATACCACCGCTCTGCCTAGCCCCCCTCGCTCCTTAACGTATCTACTGAGTATTTGTTTGCATCCTACTAGCCCCCTCCAGCTAGCTAGGTCGCTGGCTAGCTAGCACTAGCCAATCAACTCTTTGGTTCGTATGCATACGCGGTATCACAGCTGTGTTTGAGTGTTGAACACGATTGCTCGGATTTCCGATCTCTGGCATCGTAACCATAACATTAAATCCCTCGCATGACCAAAGCATCAGAATTCTAAACAAACAAGAACTCGAAAAGAACGAAGCCACCCTGACACCGTCTCACATTTTCAGCAGTTCCTTGCTTCCATTCTCAAAGCTCGAAGTTGTTGCCTCCACTCAAGCACCCCAAACTATTCTCATGGCTATCATGAGTGATGCGAGGGTTGACATGGTTGTCACACGTTGTTGTACGTACATTGACAGGTTCAACTTGCTCGCTTGCGTGCCCTTCGATGGATGGATGTCAAACGTCGGCTTGGTGGCGTTCCACCGAAATCTTTGCCTCACAGGCAGGAGCATTGGTGTATCGTAAGTTCACGTCTCGTCTACCTACCTCAGCTTTTTGTAGTGGAAGAAAGAATTCTGTGCTACCGTTTCCCAGGGGAAGGCCACTGATGGATGCATGTCACACAGCGTCCCATTGTATGGAACGCTGCACCAGCATTGGTTTTTGTTTCACCTCATTATTCTGTAGAAAAAAGAATTCCGTGCTGCTGTCTAGATATATAGCTCACTACTCGCTGCCGTACGAGAGCTACTACTGGCTGGAAGCTGCATCACCTCTCCCGGAGGAAAGATTGTACATGGTTCTTTTGGTTGATTGCGTTCGATTCTACTTGAGAGGAGAATGGTTCTCCACATAGAATAAAATGCAAGGAGCTCTCATATTTTGATTTGTGAAGTTCTGTTCTGTTAGTTTTTGTAGCTGAATAGCATCACATCATTGCAACCTTCAGTAGCCACCATGAAGCTTCTCATTTCCATCTGTCTTCCACTCGTCTTCTTGTTGGCTGGAAACGGGTCGACTCAAGTCGATGCCTTGGTGGATTCTCTTTCCCTTCGCAGCCGCAGCAATGCCATGCATTCTTCCTCGAAGCGTACTATGAATGGACCTGTGGCTCTTGGTGAAGTCAGTGTCACGGCTCCTGACACCTCGGTGACTTTGGATGCCTTGATCAATGAGCCACGCCCTGTCGTTACAAAACCTTCCACTCTTTCTCACTTGACTTGGAAACGCCGACTCGATACCAAACAAGATCCTCTTGATGTCCACAAGTGGGCTGGCTTTGGCTGGTGGGTTTCGGCCACAGCCATCTTTGGCACTGGAACTCTTTCGGGCTTTACACAAGTTCCGCCCGTCCTTGAGGCATACACGTATTTATTCCTTCTTGCCACTCTCGCTCAGGGTGCCACGAGTGTCCCCATGGCCATCAAGTTTCGTCCCAATGAGCCCGATGTTCAGCGTGGCTTTATCAGCTCTGCCATTACATCTTCCAGCATGGCCATTGTGGGTGTTTGGTTGAGTCCTTTCGGGGAATCAGCTATTTTGAGTCCCAGCATTGTTGCGAGCCTCATTGGCTTTATCATTGTGACAGATATCTTGTACAGTCTCACGTCATTTGAGGACATCAAAATGATGATCCAAGAGTTCAAAGACAAGAAGATTGATCAGGCCAAGTTTATCACTACTATTCCTTGGGCACTCCCGCTCAACTTGATCTTGCTCCACGAAATGGTCCACCATGCAAGTGATATGCGTCAATACTTTGTTGCGACTATTGTTTCCAATGGCAGTTCCATTGACTTGGTTTACTATGCCTCCATGGTCACGAGTATATTCATCAGTGTTGGGAATCTCACCTCCACTCTTCATCATCGCAAGCTTATTTCCAAAGAAGTGATGGATATTGCCTTTATCGGATCCCAGGTGGTCACTATTGTTTTCAATTTGAAGGCTGCGGGCCTGTACTGAACACCAGGAGGAGGAACCAGTATACCCTTCTTTCATTTGTCACTTACAGCACGAAGAAGCAAAATGGAAATCCAAGGCTTGCATATCGTGCATTATTTGTACGAACCCAGCCAGTATCCGTGGCTGGCCATAACCCTTCCAGAATCGGTCGCTTATAGCACAAAGCAGCAACCACGAGGAACACTGGAATTGAAGGTTTGCATATCATGCATGTACTCAAGTAAGAAAACCTGGGAACTCTATAGCTAGAAGTAAAGAGTCAAAGAAATTTATAGGCATTGATGAGTTATTGTATCCGGCAACGTTGTGTACCAGTAGCGGTAGCTAACTAGACTACGGCACATTGTGTGGTCGTCGTGTCCCAAAACACTTGGCAGCTCAATCGGCTTTCCAAAAGTATCCACGTCTCGACTGCAGAGCTGCAATTTGGGTTTGTGTGGTCAACGGACCCCATTCGATGGGACGTCTCCCGCAAGCAAAGCAATCGAGTCACACTAAACATTTCGCGCTATCTCTAAGTCTCTACAAGACTGTTGGCGTAGCTGGGCGATGTACAGTTCGGAAACGACAAAGTCCCTCTCGCTGCATCGGAAACTGGTGGTATCAAAACCAAATTTGGCGACGAGAAGGCAATGACGCTCGTGTGAAGGGGATGATCCGATACCTTACTCTTTTCGATTTTGGCGGCAGTCCAATCCAGTGGTAGTAAGCCAACAAGAGCCATTTGAAGCGATTCATACCGTACACTACTGCAATCATGGTGATGTCAATCAGCACGAGATCCGCGTTCCACTTTGACGAGGAGAACCATCGACTTGACAATGGCGGCGACGCTCGGGAAATCATGCTCCGGTCGAAGGATTTCCCGTCTTCTCCTCGCAATAGACAGAAAGTGAGCGTCTTTAACGACTGGTCATTCTATCAGGAACTCCGACAACAACCAGGATGCCTTCAAGTCGAACTGAGCCAGCTTCACGTGGAACACAGTAGTTGGTTCTTGACAGGAATTCAAGCCACGTATCAGTGCACCTTTGCCGACGGGACGGTGGTGGAAGCCAATGCTCCATTTCATGAATTTCAACGATTTCGATACCGTCACTACAGATCCAACAGCCGACGTTCGACACTCAAGCTGCAGCTGAACAGCAGCAACAACAACAACAACAACATTGGTGAATACATTATCAATATTGCTTTTCGTCGCGTCGACAAGATTACTGATCGTGTGGCGATTCAGACCAATGTGCGAACGGTCCATTACGGGAGTCCGGACTTTAGCTGCTTTCCGCCCAAGTGGTTGTTGCCGCGATATCAAGAAGACGACGACAACAATCATGCCAGAAAAATTGTAGCGCTGGGGGGGATTGCTTCGGTTCTGTCAGAGCAGATTGGGTGCTTTTCGGAATCGCAGCATTGGATGCGACTCAAGGATTGGATTCTTGTCCGGACACTGGTAGAGCAGGGCCGTGCACGTCCCATTGTCGACAAGAACGCGACAAGCCAACAGCAAGTCGTAAAGGCGTTAGTGCAAGATATCAACCGTGATGTCTTTCAGCAAGTCTTGTCCTTTCTCATTCCCAGCAACCCAACAAACAAACCCACTACCAGCTAGCTAGAATGAAAACAAAGTACCTTGCACAACCTACTCCTAGCTAGAGATAACACGTGCGAGAAAACCCGGAGGCTCAAGATGGCCACCACGAGAAAACCTACTCTAAAGCTAAACTACAAACAATTAGAGATGACCACAGACTTCCCACAATTGCTTACGTAACAGATTGAATAGCTTTAACTAGTACTTGGGCACAAGGATGAGTCTCTCAATGTCATTCACTTTGACCTGAGCACCCCATGACAAATACAGCAATCGGGCCTGTTCCAGATACTCCATAGCCTTGACATTCTGGCCTGTCTGAAGCAGCATTCTCCCTGCCTTTTCAAATGCAATAGCTTGGTCGCTCACGAAGCCCTCCCGCTCGGCGTAAGCAATGGATCTGTCATACTTCAAAAGGGCTGAAAAATAGCGTCCCTCTGTATAGTCCAGCTCGGCATCAATCAAGATTTTCTTGTTCGCTGCTGTTTCGGGGTTGTGCATCAGCAATTTCTCCAATTTCTTGGCTTGTCGTCTGGCCTCTGCGATTTTCTTTCGTCGAGCCCAACCACTGGAATCACGAGCTAGCGCAGCAGCTGAAAGACCTCTGTGGAATTGATGGTAAACAGCAACAAAGGGGACGAACCAACCTTGACGACGGCCATCATGTACTTGCAGCTGAGGAGAATGATGAGCACTCCTCCAAGATCCTCTGCTATTAGCTGTTCAATCGTCTCCCTCTCATCTATGATATCGCCAGTCAAGGTAAGTGGATCCTGTGCCAGGCCTTGTAGATTGTGACATGTTTGCAAAATGCATTCTCCCAGCGACCCAACTTTGTTTTGACCGCACTTTCTGCACATGTTTACATATCTCGCAAGTACTTTGGCAATATCTGGAATGGGATCTCCCATGAATAATTGCAAACAGCCCTTTATGGTAATTGATGCAACTGCCATCTGCATAGTAAGAGTAAGACAAGAGGAAATTTGATCAGATAGTGCAAAACAATTGGTTTGACGAGCTTGGCTAGTAGCTCGTTTCGACTCACCTCGGTATGACCAGTCTCCATTGACACTGTCCCATACCTCCCCCACGGTTCTAAGACTTGTCGATAGGAGTACTTGGAGGCCTTGATGACACCATAACACAGCCATTTGACATGGCCTTCCAGTTGCTTGGAGGGAAACCTCTCTAAAATCTTGGATGCCAACTCTCCAGCTCGGTAACCATCCTCAATATATCCCAGTTTGATGAGGGAAACGCCATAGAAGACAAAGCCAAGTCCTGCCAGAGGACTCAATCCATGCTTCAGCGTCAGCCGTACCAGTCGAAAGATGGGACATGGCGCCGCCTTCCACCCTGCAGATTCCAGTAGATTGAACATAATGTAGAGCAATTTGAGTGCCGCAATGATACGAGGATCTTCTAAGACTGGCAATGCCAAAATGTCTTCTTCCGTCTTGTTGCCCATTGCTATTCTGACTCGTACCAACTCGATAATAACTCCCACCTCTCCGGTATATCTTGGTGAAGGTTCTTTGAGTTCTTGCAGTGTATCATAACACAGGTTGAGTCCACTGGTGGGTTCTCCCTTGCCACAATACGCCATGATTTGCGTGGCCAGGACGCGGGTCTTGTCTCCAATGGACCGCGCATTCTGCCGGACCTGTTCCACCAGTGTCTCGAGCTTGCCCATGTCACCAATGCAGTATGCGAGTTCCGTTCCGGCAGTAAACAGTTCCAGACTGAGGTTGTACTGGTCTCTCCAATGGCGATGGCTCAATAGCCCAATACCATAGTCCGTGTATTGGGAGGCCGCCACAAAGGCAGACGTTTTGGCTGATTCCTTACTGGCTCTAAGAAACAAGCGGGCAAAGTCATCTCGTTCGTCGGGATCCATGACAAAGTCCAACCCATGTTTGAGTTGATTCACAATCAGGATGCAGTTGGCCTTGACCATGGCAACGGACAATTGCTTTCGAAGATTGCGTCCAACGGCCAAATAATACTGGGCTCGTTGTTGTTGTTCGTCATCGGGAATGAGTGAGAGCGCGGCTTCTCGAAACTTGTCGTGTTTGAACTGGCCCATTCCAATATGGACGTTATGAGATATAAATCCTTCCTTGCTGACCACATGGAGTGCCTGGACCAGTAGCGAAGCGGGAATGGTGTTGGCGTGGAATAAGATGGTTTCTTGAAAGGTCGACCCCAAGCAGGCTGCCGTTTTCATAGTTTCAATGACATGCTCTGGCAATTTGAGTAGCTTTCGTGCCAACAATTGGATAATCAGTTTGCCATTACCGGTAGTATTGGAACGGGCACTTTCGTCGTCGGAATGATCCGAGTAGTCGGGCATGTGGAGCACGAGGGCCGCTTCATCCCACGTCCACTGCTGTGTTTCCACGTCTTTGAAGAGTACCCTCTCGTCCAGTAGAGTTTGGACGTACTGTCTGACAAAAAAGACATTTCCCTGAGTGGTACTGTTGACGACTTGAGCCAGGGGCATGAATTGGTGTCTCGTCGTGCTATCATCATCATCGGATGGATGATGATGACGATGATGATGCGAGAGCAAATCGGCCATCATGTGTGCCGTGGCGACTTCGGAAACGTTTTGTACCTGAATGTCGGTAATGGCGGTATTGGTAGCTTCGAGTTGTCGCAGCATGACGGCGAGTCCATCGTGTATATGGACTTCATTGCCACGACACGTCCCTAAAAGCATGAGTGGTTGGCGGGGGTCGGACTCTTCGAGGAGTGATTTGAGGATCTCAAGGGATGGTGGGTCGGCCCATTGCAGATCATCAAGTAGAATGACTATTGGAATGTCACAGGATGCCATGGCTTGGATCAGACGACAAAAAACGGCCACAAATCGAGCCGGATTGTCATCGGCTACTCCCACGTCGAAGGTGGTGACAGAGGTAGTTCGATCCAGTCTGCGTGGACCACTGAGGTGCTTGGAGGAAAAGGAGCCTTCGTGGGCAACATGAACTCCTGCCAAAGCCGTTTCACTGGAGTTTGTGGGAACCTGTTGTTCTTGTTGTTCCCTTGAATCCATGGTACCATTGGTGTGTTCATCCCAAATCTGATTCAACGTGGGAATGGCTTTTTGCAGCACAAACAACTCGGATCCGACCACCTCTTGAATGGCTCGCCCCAGTTTCGTCCGGATAGAATCTTCTTCTCCTCCTTCTTCTTTTCCTTCACGTTTACTACATGTACTTTGAGCCACCAGTTGGACCACAAAATCTTCCACGGCGTCCAAAAAGGGACCGTGGGATCGTCCACCGTGGTCTTCGAATTTGCCTTGAATCAAAAATCCACCATCGGCTTGTACTAACGAGTGAATGGACCTTGCCAACGCCGACTTGCCGGTCCCCGAAGCACCCGTCACCAACACCAATTCACTCGTACCATCACAAGAACAGCAACGCTGATAAGCGTCGGCCAGTTCTTGCGATTGATCTTCGCGGTCGTAGAGCTTATGGCACGAAGAAGAAGCCACACTCCGACCGTCCCACGGTTCATCCAGACCCGCTGTAGTGATACTGTTGGTCGTCAGAGTACTAGCGCTACCTTCGCTCGTCGCACGCGGCTGTGCCTGCTGGGGATGGACGCCGTCGTTCAGTCTCATCGTGTTGTTGTACGGTTCTGTAGATATGAAATGGTATTGCGGGAGTGCTGCGTCTTTATTGTGCACTTTTGCGACGCCTGGCCAGATGACTTCCGATGCGAGCATCTGCCACAAATTGGTACGGAAATGCACTGTCGTCCAAGCCCCTGCTAGCCCAGTTTCTCGTAGATTCAACGTAAATTTTTCCTATAATTCTTATTAGATTTAAACGGCTATATTTTGCTTAAATCCACTTATACCAGATCGTTAATTCGATTCGGCAAGGTCCGAATAAACTGCCGAATACTCACTCCCTCCGCACGATATCCTGCCACAATTGAAAAGAAAAGAAAAGAAAAGACGACCATGACGTCTTTGTCGGCACTTCCGCCGCTCTCACAGGCCGATTAACAAGCTGCGACTTGACAGCTACTTCCCTTTGTTGGTGTAGTAGGCCCTGAGGGGGGTGAGCTGCTGGGAAAGTTCATAGTCTTCTTCGAAACCGTCCTCTTCCTCATCCTGGTCACGCTTCGACGCAAACCTCTTCTTGGGCATGGGCGTGGCTCTCTTCGGAGCAGCCTTCTTCTTGGGGACCACCTTGACCCTGGGAGCGGGCTTGTGGATATCAAACCTGTTGTTGCCGTAGATGAGGACGGTGACCACAGTCTTCAATTTCGTGAGCAGCACAAGACAGTCATTGGAAGAAGTCACAACACGGAGGACGCCTTGGTTGAGCGAAAAGCGGCCCGTCCATTCCTTGAATTCATCAGCCTTCCAATAGTACTTGCCGCCGATGGTGCAAACAAAAGTGCAGTCCTTGCCCATCATGATGGCTCTGTTGACCTCTCGAGTCAAAAAGGTTTGAGCTTTCTCGGTGAGCGGCTTGATTCTGTCTTGGATGAGGGAATCCATATCTTTGTTGCTTCCAGGTTGGCTGTCGAAGAAGCAATTCACAAGCATCTCCTTATTGAAGAATTCAACAGGGTAGTCTGGTTCAAAGTCCGAGTCCGACGACGACATGATGGCTTCAGTTTCTGCTCAAGTGCAGGTTGTGAGATAGATCGATCGTGATGGAGCGAGAAGAAATGCGCAGGGGTAGCTTCCCGTCAAAGCCTCGATTTGAATGACAGAAAATTCTTTTGGCGGGCTCCATTTGAATTGGATCGTCATTGGTGGATCGGCATCGCATTGGCTCGGCATTCAAATCAATCCAGAAATCGCGATGACCTCTTGGAACACCATCGCTGCCGTCAAGGCTAGCGGGCAGCTTCGCAATGTTACGGCGGAGTCCCTTGCCTGCATCGATGCCCGTACCGGAAACCGTAGCTCCAGATTCGCCGGTCCAGTTGCTCTCGAGAGATTTGGCGACAATGCTCTCTTCCGGGTAGCAGTCAAGAACGACGACGGAACAAGGAACAAGATGGTATTCTGTTTGCCGCCGGACTCTCAGTGGACTGCGGAAACTCCCAAGAAAGTCATCAGCCCGAATACAAGAAGCAAAGCAGTCAAGAGCATTGTGCGTCTAGGAAGGGACAACTCCGAAGGCTTTGATAAGCTGACAATCGTCATGCCATGGGATGGAGAACATGGCCAGTCGATGCTCTTTGCCAACGGTCTAATCTTTGCTTCGAACGTCGTTTATGACACGACCATGCAAGCCGAGCGAGTGCAAGAGTAATGTCACAGTCGAGTGATGCGCATCTAATGAACCGACACAAATCAGTGGGTGGAAGGTATTGTCTCTGACCAGTTGTCCGGATCCCTGATGCTGGCAGTCTTCCCCACTCTAGCTTTGATTATATGACCCTTTGATTCTACTCCTCTAAGAATAGTATAGTCAAGTTGTAGAATCAACCTCTCGTAGAATCAATTGTCTGGCCATCTAGAATGCCGACATGTCGTCTTGCTAGCTTGGCCGGAAGATGGATGCAACCATCGGATCTATCGGTCGCACCTATCCGACAAGGAAATAAAGACAGCCCGCTGTTTTATAGTAGTGTTAATCGATACTACTTTGGACCAATTGGTATTGATTTACGTGACAAACCGTGTTAAGTTATGCACTACTTTGGGATAAGGTTTACGTTCGAATTTTTAAATTGACAGCCAATGCAACGTCGAATCTCCTTCACAACTGCCGTGGAAGCGATAAACGAAACTCAACCATGGCGATCACTCTTCCGTCTCCTCCGCGGTCGCTTCCTCTTGCTCTGTAACTGGTTGACATTCCAGTTGATCTTGATAGTAGTCCTTGCGGTACAGCTTTACCAGGGCTTCAACCCGTAGATACTCAATGTTCAATGTCGGAAGTGCGGTGATCGATTTGAGGTAGGCCGACCTCTTCTCCTTTTCCTTGTCTTCGTCATGCGCTGATTTTTTCCTCTTCTGGCCTCGCTTCTTCTTCTGCTCTTGTGTTTCCTGTAGCTTCTGATGCACTTCCTTTTTCTTGCCGGTGGCAGCATGCCGGAGGATGTTGAGTGCTTTTTTGAAATCATCTCGATAGCATTTCAATCGGGCATTATCTCTCTTCCCCTGCTGGTGACAACGCTCCATCACTTCTTCCATGTGACTTTTCATGCCGCGGAGCCTCTCCAGTGCATCTCCGAGATGCTGCCATCCATGGACCTTCATTGGAATGGTTGGCATGAGACGGCGCCACAATTCAGTTCCAAGATTGATTGCTTTCCTGGCGTCAGACACATCAGCGTCGGTCATGGATCCAAAGGGCTGGTAGCAGTAGTGGGCTATCACGTCCATGTATTGGAACAGCCTTTTGAACGCTTCACAAAATAACTCCACTTCAGCAGCGTCCGCCTTGAACTGCGTTTTCTCCTCTTCCGACAGGCTGCCGAGGTGGTCCAGCAGAATCGTTTTGATATCATCCATGATGGGGACAGCGTGACGGAGGAGCCTTCGGCATTCATTGCCCTCCATAGCTCCACCATGGTAAGAAGAGATGTGCACATTGTATTCCTTGTCAAGCTTTCTTTGGATAACCATCCAAAGGCTTTGAGTTGTGCGTCCATACTCCTTTTTATTTTTCTCTAACTTTGCCAGTGCTTTCTTTTTCGCTCTCAGGTTGTTGTCAGCCTTCTTGTTGGCTGCCTCTGCCTCTTCCAACCAAGCCCTTGCCAGATTGAGGTGTTCCTGTTGCCGAATGTAGTCTTGCTCATGATCATTGTCTTCAAATTGGATGTTTGGGTCACCAACAAGCTCTGTCATGACAGAATACATGTCGTTGAAATGCTCCTCGGCATCCAGCAGGTCCTTCCTTTTCTCCTCGTACACCAGCTCAGCATCTGCTCTCGCGAATCTCGCTTCCAGCAGGTTGGGGGGGATGTTTTCAAGTCGGTACCAGACTATTTTCTGGAGATAGTCATATGGAGTATTGGTCAAGAGCACAACAGAATGAAGTGGAGGTGGGAGATAATTCCGTGGCTGAATACAGTCAAAGAGAGGTAAGGTCTTGATTCCTTTCTCCTGGAATGGTTTTGAGCGCTTCAGCTCTTTTCTCTCTAAGCGTTCATATCTTTTCTTCATCAATTTTAGAGACCACATCCTTCCGACCTTCTTCGGATCTTCCTGAAACTGACTCCACATCAGCTGGCACATCCAACAATGAGCACCGGAACAATTCTCTTTTCCCAGCGCCAGTGCATAGAAGGCCAAATCTCCAGTAACAAAGAGCTCGATGGGAAGACTCCCAGGATTTGACATGAGTTGTTTCAAGGATGTGTTGACAGCCGTGGAAATTCCACTCGCTAGAAGAATTTCCCTGGTATCTTTCTTGCAATTAATCGAGCCAATGAGCTCATGGGACTCTCGTCGAACTCTTTTGCCTGCAATGAAGAGGATTGATATATGGACGCGAAAGGCTCCTTGGCCATGATCTGCAGAGAGGATGACATGGACGCAGTCGTCTGTTAATATGGCTTCGGACTTGATTTCATTCCTTATGACATCCTCAGCTGATCGAACCCAACCGGTCTTATTCGACTTCTGCTCTTGAAATTGAAGCAAGGTAGGTTTCACTGCAACCTTAGCTTCTAGCTTCCTCATTTGCCATTCTGGATTGAGTGGGTTGCACCCATCTGCAATGAAAAAAGCTCTCATCCCTCTCACTTTCTCGTATGTTAGATTGAGGTGTTGGCACATTGCGATCTGTCGGTGTGGGTCCATCTTTCGAGCTGGCAAACTCGACGTTCGAACAACATCAACAAACGCTTCAGGCTCCGCTTCTTGGTGCAGTCTTGTGAGTGCGAAGCAGCTGTCTCGCCTCCTCATGCTGTCACCATAAACCATCGCGTCGTAAAGCGTCGGAAGATACTTCTTTGCATTCTTCATCAAAGACGACACTGAATCTGCCGGAATGACAGGCACAAGGTGCAAACCAAGACCTTTGCTGCCACCCCACTTCGCTAGTTGCAGTATTTTTGTTGCTTTGGCCTGTTCATTTATCTGCAATGCAACATGAAGGAAGCTCTGGAGAGAGGATCGCCGCAAGGGGCAACAGAATCGATCGAGGAATGGTACGAATTTCTGCTCGTTGACCAGTGCACTCAAGTCATCGTCGTCGTCAGCAAACAAAGAGTTTCTTCTAACGTTTGCCTCCTTTTGCAGCCTGATACCCATGATCTGTACCTTTGCTCTAAAGCCATCAAGGTCAATGTCAAATTTAAGTAAGTTTGGGTTATCCAGTTGCTCTGGATCAAGAATCGTTTCCAGAAGATCTCTAATATCGCGATTGCTTTCATTGTTTATATCATTCTTAACAGTCCGCTCGGCGGCATCTTCGGTTGGTGTTACGATTGCACTTTTTGTATTTGGTTGGTTGGTCTGGACGACCAGAGTGTTGGTCATGAAGCTTTGCCTCTTGCAATAATCGTGCCATCGCGTGGTATAGAACGACTGTAAGTCGCCCTTGAGTTCTTCGGCCTCGGAATCGTCCGTAGCGACACAAAGGAAGTCGACAGTCTTCCTCCTGTTACTGATCCTTATCTTCCGGTCAGCCATGTCAATGTAAGTGATGCGTCCATATCTTATCTGGTCTTCGTGGCTTCTAAAGTGTCTGCGGATTGCATTCCTGTTGACTAAAGCAGCTTTCAAAGTCTTCACTGTAAGACTCTCTCCATTGTCCAGGTGCCTGGTGATCTTGTGGGCCCAATAGCTCATTGGGATCCACTTTCCTTTAGAGCACACAGTTGTCGCCACAGCAACAAAAGCCACCTCGATCTCGTCGTCGGTAGGCATGGTTGTCGCCGGAAACTACCTGACCGCTTCCGCCAGTGTGTGCTATTGGTATTGATTGAGACTGCCTCTGAATCGGTCCGGTACTTTCGGATCAAAAGGTCGTCAACTCGATGTCGGCATGACAGGCATGATGGTGGTTGCTTGTCGTGCTTTCATCGAGGGTATACGGATCAAAACCTGAAGTTTGGATTTGAATCCAAAATGTGAGCTCCAGTTTTGCATACGTCAACTGTGGCGAAGAGAGTACAAGACAACAATCTGTAGACCCTACGAGAGGATAGCCCTGGACGACAGTGATGGTGGCCTTATTGCTTCATCACGGAAGCAGATGCGAAGGGTTCTCCACTCTCCACCTTCACCCAGTTGATTGGTAACTGTTTAGTGTACTCATTAATTGAGTACCTGTAGGTACTTGTATTAACACTGGTACCGGTATCAATTTATGACTTAAAATAGCAAGATGTACTAGTTGGCTACTATACTACAGTACTGCTCAGAGTAAAGTAATAAAGGATCTTTTCTTTTAAATGTCCATGGCCCTACCCTTTTACTGGTTTATGGTTACTGTACATGTATTTTCGTATTTTCTGGGATACATGTAGAGACACCCAGTCCAGGAAGAGCTGGTCGACTATTTTTTGGCCACAATCTTATGTTCATCCATCAAAAACATGGGGTCAATCGGTCAATCCTTGCCTTCAAAGCCAGCCAAAGGACCAGAAAGAAAGGGGATCATGTAATAGCTGGCTATCCCTGCAGTATCCTCTGTTGATACTCTTAGATCCTCAGTTCATATAAGATACCCAACTGACAACAACATGAGGAGTCACCACAAGCAACCACGTCAACATGGTGATGTCAGAAGCAAGTTGTACACAAGTTCGCCCCCCTTCAATACCATGCAGTATTCCTGTCCCCATGTCCCATTTATCTACCGGTATGGTTCAATCGATTGGAAATTATTTATGAAAGGCAGTAGTGTCCAAAATTGCTTCAGCCCCAGATCCCACTTCTAGCTAGCATCTATAGCTATATAGTGGCGAGTAGCTCTGTAGCTAGTGCCGGTATAGAGAGAATACCGACTCTACTACCGCACGCCAACAACAAATGATTTTATCGAGCTGCACACGGCCGTACACATTGCAAGCAATAGTATACAGCAATGGAGTTTCTCTCGCGACAAGACTTGTCGGGAAGCCATGGCAGGCCAGGCCGGTTGTGTGGGAGCTAATTGCAGTACCTAGCAAGTAGGCGTCATGGATGTGTCTGGAGTGCATCCTTGCGATATTGTACTGTACTGTACTGTATATGAAGTAGTGGGGACATGGCTGCCAGTGCCGCTTGTGTGTTGTCATGTACAAGCTATGTGAATAGCTAGTAACTAACAAGCTGGCTAGCTAGTATTTCTGCATGTCAAGTATCTCTCTCTGCCTGTTCCGATCCACAGTTTCATCAAGCGGTAGATGGAGTAGACTACCGGTGCGTGACTGCTTTGAACTAACAAACAAGGATCAGCTGCAGGATTTATTTGTCCAATGTCATTGACCAACCGTAATTGTACTCCACGCTCTCTCTCTCGTGTAGTATTGGTGTTGTAGGACGTCTGGGCTCCCTTTCAATGACTCGACGACTTTATAAACAGAGCAGCCACGTCTATTGTTATCCCGAGTGAACCGACGAACACCGGTGAATTACATTACATTTTGTAATTCAAAAGCAAATCACCAACTTGACTATCATGCCTGCCATTCGTAGTGGCGATCGAGGATTCCACACACGCTTGTTGGCCGAGCTTGGATTTCTCTCGAGCTCAGTGCTAGGCTTACATACGTTGTGGTAACAGCAGTATTAGACTAGTAACGATGGATCGATCACCGAGGTTTTGCTGAAGCATGGCGATCGATCTTCATGCTCTCATTTGCTGGACGACACCCCATGCATCGTGTGAAGCTCTGATTTCCTTTATTAGCTACCGGTACGAGTGCTGAGTATGGCTTGTCTGGCAGTAGTGGCAGGGCAGTACCGGTAGCGGAACAGGTGAAGTACTACCAGGTACCGGTATATAGTGCAGGTTTTACTAGCAATTTTTCTATTTCAATGTCATGACGTGGCATGCCGCCAGCCACCTCCAAAAAACTTGCCCTCACAATTCTCTCCGAAACCACTTCACATCGATTGCAATGGACACACTCATAGAAGAGTGATATGGTTTCGACAAGATGATCATGGGATCGTCCAGCACGGCAACCAAACATATGGTTTCTTCATAGCTAGTGATAAAAGATATAGAACATGGAAATGAAAGTCTCACTCTTCAATACCAATCGATTACAGATCGTAAATAGGGGTGGCAATGGCGTCGAAGCGGCCGCGTTTAGAGACGCCACAAGGCAAGAAGCTAGCACGGGCAGCAGGTATTCTCAAGTTGGCAAAGCGTTCCAAAGAGATGAATGTCAATGTAGCTATGAAGCTTGCTGGATTCGAATCACCAGAGGCAAGTGACCCAAACCTCCGACAAAAAGTGCGACGCAGATCCAACACTTTGAAATCTGAGGCCGCAGCTGCAAAGGCTGACAATGACAGTACCACCAAGGCGCCACCACCTCCTTCTATCTCTCAAACTGAAAGGAATGCAGCAGAGAAGTCTCTCAAGGAAAAGCTAGGAAGAAACCAACGATTGACTGGTCGACAAGCCACCGCAGCTCGGAAACAAAAAAAAGAAGATCGAGAGGCGCTCGCTGCTCTCTACAAAGCTGCTACTCTGGAGTGGAAGGAGGAGCTGATTAGAGTGGAGGTGGAAAAGACTCAAGGATGCATTTACAAGCCAGTCTCTGCAGAGACCATTGCCAAGCGATATAATGAAAAACACGGTGTGAAACTTGTCGGTCGAACCATCCGCAATATGGTCGAACGTGGAGACGCTGGCAAGAGCCCAAAGCGTCGAGGACCGAAGGGTAGAATTGATCCACACGGATTCAAAGCACTGTGTGGAGCTGTGGAAACGTTCAGCTCACTCTCTCAGGTATCTGCAACAGAGACTATCGATCGACCGAAGCTGGCAAAACTATTGAATGCATGTGTCAACAAGAAGGAAGGGCTTGGCACACGAACGGGTCGATGGCTTCTCGACAGAATTCAAAAGGAGATCGGAGATGCTCTGGATTGTGGAAAGCCAAATCGAGTTGAAAAAAGGAGAGCAAATTGGGCTACATACAGCAATATCAACCTCTGGTTTGATTCTCTCAAGGCACACTTGATCAGCATTGGAGCGGCTATCGAAAATGACGAGGAAGACATAACAACTACTGGTGAACTCACTTGGATTGACGAGACTCAGGGACGGAGGATTGCCAATATTGACGAATCAGGTTTGACACTTGATGATACGAAGAGTCAGAAAGGAGGTCGGCCACCACTTGTCTTCTACAACCCAAGACTACAATCTGAAGCCATGTATGCGGCGCACAAGAGCTCTTACCACTGCACTCTTCTTGCAGGTACCTTTGCCTCCGGCGAAAAACTTCCGGAGCATTTTCAAATTCCATCAGATGCCCAAAAGGAAGAAGACATGGTGATCCCTGCTGAGTTTGTTATTGATATGCTAGAAACGGAGGCTTGCTATCTACTCAACGACGGAGCAACGAAGAGATGCTCCAACAGCTACGGCGTTAACCAAAAGGGAGGCATGAACAAGGAACAGTTTGGCAAATGGACTAGAGGCAACTTTATTCCATTAATCCTGGAAGACACTGCTGATGTGCCAGGCAAACGAGCCACTTTGCTTGTCGATGGTGGTCCTGGACGGACAAACAAGGAGATGCTAATGGAGCTCCGGTCACTTGGAATTTATCTCTTTCCCTCGGGTCCTCCGAATACAACTCACATCCTCCAGATCATGGACATGCTGTTTGGTTTGTTCAAGTCTATCTTCTTCGAAAATCTCCAATTGCTTTGGGAGTACCGACAGAATACACCGGAAGCAGCTGATTCAATCTCTCGAAATGACATTGGTCTCTTGTGCTATGGCTCAATGCTCCGTCGGCAGACTGATCCAACATTTCCACTGCTCCGGAATGCAATCGAAGAGGCTTTCGCTTCCACAAGAGTTACTCATTGTTGGAATGACAAGCTTGGAATCTATCCCGCGTTCACTCGAAAGGCATTGAATGATCCGAAAGTTCGATCAGAGCTAGTTGTTGATGCCGATGGGAATGCGGACGACTCCGTTGATCCGAATGCCTCTTACATCCAACAGCTGAACCAAAGGAATGATTTCTGCTGCGATCTTCTCAATGCTCTTGGATATAATGGAGAGCTGCTGCGGGCGAAAGCACCAGAGTTTCAAGCAGCAAAGAGAGCAGCAGTTGTCACTGTTCCACGCTCACGAGAAAGACAAGATGCCTTGGAGGCAGCTGCAACTCAAGGTCAAGTCTTTAAAGTTACCGGAGGAGCTGCTTTGAATGATGATGACTTCCTCATTGCTGATGAGAGGAAAAGATTGAAGCAGCGGGTTGATTCTCTGGAAAAAGAGAAGAAGACGCATGTCTCATCATGGAAGAGGCAACAGAAGGCCATGTCGATTATTGAATCGGAGAAACAGCAAAGCGAGTTAACAAGCGATGATTTCAAGGACTTGATTGCTTGGAAGACCGGAAAGCCTTGCCCATCCAAACTATCGAAGAAAGAGGATCGATTGGCCCGTTATCTTGAGTTGAAAGGTGCCGAGGTCGCTGCACTTGAACCTTGGCCGGAGGAGAAGGAACAAGAGTTAACAGATCTCATCTCACAGATTGCTTCCAACATCAGCTTAGATGACACCGAATATGGACGGCATAAAGAGGTTGCAAAAGCGAAAGCGAAAGCCTTGGTTGCTGCAATGCCTCAAACCGAGCAACAAGCCTTCCTCCAGAGCTTTCAAGACCACTCTGAGGCTACTACGGAGGACCCAACAGAGTCAGAAAGGATGGATGGAGTAGATGACATTGAGTGACAAAAAACAGGTCTCTAGCGGCACTATCTGTATTGGCTTGCTATATCGACAACGCCACAGTCCACAACTGCAGGTGAGTTGCTTGTTGTCTACCCTTGACTTCTTCTATTGCATTCATGGTGGTCTGGCTAACAGTTTCCTACTTATTGACTCGAAGGGGCGCCATGGCGCCAAACCAGGATGGATGGCCAGTATTTATTCAAATTTAAACCAACAATTTACTAGCCTGGAAAAATTACCATCAAATCCTGTACCGGTGGTATGCTTAGCTACTAGCTACTAGTACGGTAGGTCTTGTGATTTACAGGAGATTTAATCTCATGTACTTGAGAACTCCCTCTAACTAAAACACAGGTTCCTTCGGCATCACCGTTTATATTTGTCTGTTACCATGGTACGGTACCGGTACAATAGCTCGTGACATTTATGTCGGCTGATTTGCTGCCAGTTTCGGACAATTCCAAGGGGGAAGATGCTTTTTAATTCATAATTCGAGTCATTTTGTTGTCATCAGATCTGCGACTTTGCTTTGACCACCGAAAGCCGTGCGGCTTATGGTACGTACCCTTTTTTTCAAAACCATTCCGAGCCCGAGCGATGACGAGTCGCGTAAAATCCGTGAAATTCATGATTTTACGCCATTTCCGCGAACAATAAAAGAGCCCACATGGATTTGTAGTACGGAAAATCGACTTTCACGCTGCAGAAAACTGGTCATTGCGAAAACAGCCAAAACCACGAATTGCGTAAAACAACCACGAGTTTCAAAGTTCCTGCACAGCAGGGGACAGCCGAAAGAGCTTTTTACATGTAGTCTTGGTCGGGGTCTTGGAAGAATCATTCCACCCCGCAGTCACCATAATAATAATGACTCTGTTCTTCGAATTTAAATCCTGACTTTACCAAAGCCAATAGACATTGTAGTAATAGGTAAACCCTACTTAGTACTAAATCGACGCCACTACCGAACTTAAATGTATGAAAATGTGTGTGATCCAGGGTTCTTACTTGGTTGGCGATTACCGGTAAAACACTGTGAAGTCACAGTACATTTCAGCGGCATAAACGAAGCAAACACGACGAATTAGTAACCCGCTCAGACCTGGAATCAAGTTGCTGCTCATGCACTCGAATCGCTGAAAACCCCCTTAATTGTCTTCGATCGCCTCAACATAGTCAGCAACCTGGCACCGAAAACGACGAAAACAAAAGCATGACCAAAACCAAATTCCCCGGTCTCACCGTCTCACCCATTGAAACCGATCGAGCTCTTGCTTGCTTGGAAAACGCCCCAAAACACATCTACCGTATTTGAGCACCAAACCTTGGAGATACTAAAATGATGAAGGCAGCGACAGAAGAAACAGCAATGATTGTTGACTTGAGCCCTTCCGTGGAAGAGGGGTTGGAAGAGGAAGTGGACTTGACGAAGGGAATGTCCATTGGTAACGACTGTGATTGGCCACAGAAAACAAAGAAGAAAGACTCCAAACAAGCCAACTGGCAGAAGGAACAGCAGGACATGCGTCAGTTCGAGAGCATCAATGGCATGACAGTTCCATTTGCGGAAGGCGATGATGACGGGACCATAAAGGCAGGTGTCAAGAGAAATGACCCTAACAATGACCATAGCCACGAAGAGGATGATTCCTCTGAAGATGTGGGCTTTGGTGATGATTATGATAGCGAGAGCTGCAGTCGCGACAGTGTCCTCTCAGCAGAGGCCCGAGAGAATGAAATCCGGAGGGGTGTCATGATTGGGATTATTCAAGGAAAAATTATGGACTTCTTTTCGGCTATCTTTCGATTCATTATTGACACCATCCTCACTTTGTACAAATGGATCTATGACAAGATCATCAAGAGATGCTCATCATCCTCATCTGAGGAAGAGGCCGCCACAGATTTGGCAGCAGATCTGGCGCAGGATACCATGGATGCGGGAGACATCCAAGCTGCCAGCAACCAGTTTTCTAGCGGAGCGTTCCAAGGTGGGGCAACCACTACCGGTCAGACGGCTGCCACTACCGGTCAGATGGCCACCATGGCAGCCCAAAGTGCAGCCACAGCTACTGCTTGTAAGTCAACTAATGTGAAGTCAGCATGGTTGTTCCCAAGAAAGGAGTGAACAAGCTCTAACTCAGTTATTCCTTTCGTATTTTTGGTGAATTGCAGCGGCAACAACTACTGCGGCAGCCACAGCCGCAGCTGCTGCATCTGCTGCATCTTCCACCATTGCCTCCTCATTGGCTGGGGCTGTTTCATCAGTAGGATTGGCAACCCAAGTCGGCGTGGCTGTGGGAGTGGCAACTGTTGCTGTGTCCACAGGGATTGGTGTCGGTGTTAGTCAGAAATCAGAAGGCCCCACATCATCGCCCTCTTACACCATAACTGATGATCCATTTGTTCCACCTGTCTGTACCCTAGATGCAGATATGAAACAAGGCTATGTTGAGCTGCAGATCCAGTCATTTCCCAAAGAAGCCTTGCCCCAGTACCAGGTGGAGATGGAAAGAATGTTCCGGACTATCTACAACAACATCTCTGGTCAGTGTCTAGATCCTCTGCAACGAGTAGTCCACAATGCCTCGCTAGAACGCTGGGAGGAGACGGATGTTGATCCTCAAACAACAATTACAACATTGTATTGGCAGGTGAGTTTGACACCGGCCGGGAGTCTTTCTTTGGGATGTTTCTTCTTTCTCACCTTATGCCTGTTTGCTTTTTACATGCTTTCTCAATTACAGGCCACTGTTGCTTGTGGCGGTTGCCCTGGTGAGTTTGGCACAGGCCGGGAATCTTACTCTGGGTGTTTCGTCTTTCTCACACATTATGCCTGTTTGCTCTTTAAAATTATTTCTCAATTGTATCTTCTAGACTGGGAGCCTCTGTTTGATTCATCCATACTTCTTTCTTTGGAAATGGAGAGCAGAGAGGTTGCAAGGGACAACATGTCAAATGCTACAGCAAACACAACGATAACGACCACTGGTAGCAATGTGACAACTGTGATGCCATCTAATGAAAACAACACCACATCACCACAATCACTACCTGTTACCAGAAGCCTGAATCCCCGAGAACGACACCTACAACAAGTCCCTACTTTGAATGAGTTCTTTGCCATATTTGCAACCACCTTCGGCTTTAACTTGGGACCGTTGCTGGAAGAAGCCAGTGATGGAGCAATCATCATTGAGGCTAACAACAAGGGGATGCCAAAAGTGGTGTTTGCCACTACGAAAGCAGCCCCTGGCTTTGAAGGCAGCAATGGCACTATTTCGATAGGAGAAGAGGCTTTGGAACAGTTTGTAGACTATGTACAGAACAACAATGGAAATGTTCAAACCCCGTTCATTTCAGATGACCTCTCCGCATTGGTTGATTGTATCGATATTGGAGATTCAGGGAATGAAGCTAGGGGCACAAGCACAGATTGTGATCGGGTTCACACATTGCTGGAGGACAAGAACAGAAATGTTGAGCCCGAGATTGTGGCAGCTTGTATCGCAGACCCAACTAGTACCACTCAATGTCAAGAATTGCTCATGGAGATCCTAGATGTCTCATCATCAGGGGATCACGGTGCCGCCAGTCCACTGTCGGCATCAGTTTCAGAAATTACAGAGAACCAGGACGAACCTACAATGTCTCCTGGCATGCTAGTGCCTATTCAAGAAGCCATTCCAGTGACCACCAGCCATTCACCTCAGCCTGCATCCAATGTCATCGTTGACGGACCTGCTCCATTGCCACCAACTATTGCACTCAGGCCTACCCATGACCTAGCTGGTGGGAATGCTCCGTGGTCAATTCCTGCTGTTGCACCAACCCCAAAGGGTGCTGACAGCACAGAACTGTCATCCGCTGACATGGCCACCGATGCCCCCTTTCAGTCCACCTCCATCCCAGCCACCCCCACTGCTCCTGGTTACAGCCCCCTACCTCCCCCAGCATCAGAGGAGTCCATGCCTGAATCTTTAATGGTTTTGAAAGAACCATCGCAAACCGCACAACCCAGTACAAACCCATTGGTAGCATCCATCAATACTGGGCCCACAATTAGTCCAACAGAAGGACCAATTGTCAGCTCAAAAGAAGAAAGTGCCAATTCACCCAGCTCACTTCCAGTCTCTTCTTCAGTGCCTTCTGTGTCAGCAGGCACTTTTGCATCTACACGACCAATGCATTACACCACAGCCTCACCTACCATTTCTGAACATCCTTCTGCAGATGCCTGGCTGTCACAGGAAACTGGTGTAGGCCTACTCAAATTTACAAACAGCAAAGCCCAGCAGATGACGCCATGGGTTGTAGGGCAGCTGGACACACCAGCTCCAACAGGCGTTGCATCCTTGTCTGAAGAAACTGAAATTGAACTGAATAAGTAAGTGCTTTTGGCAGTATCCTGCATGCATTGCTTGGTGCCATCTTCAGTCAAAATGTGCATAGACAATCTAAACCTTGCTCCTTTCATCGTAGGTTTCAGCAAAGGAGAGCGATGCAATGGCAGAACCTAGAACTGAAAACCAAGTCACAGCTCCACCTCTACCAGGTTCAGAAGTGGTGTCTACTACGTCAAAAGTAACAGTTCGGCTACCTACAACTAGCTCAACCCCAGAACCAACTCCTAATCCAACAGATGTTTCCACTGCGGCAGAATTAACAATGCAACCACCCATCAATGCACCAACCATTCAACCTACGTATCAGCCAACCAAAAATCCGACTAGACAACCCACTGGTATTCCATCCCAACTTCCAACAGTCTCACCAAGTTCTAATCCAACCACAGCTATCCCAACAAGTCTGCCCACAAATGACCCGACAAGAACACCCTTAGCCTTTGCTCCTTCCGGTCAAGTAGCACAAGGGTGCACACAGACATTCCTAGATGTTGAAGCAACTTACTATGTGAAATTTGATGAGGACCCAGACTCAATCCCTGACGAAGATTTCGGACAGGACTTCTACAATGGTAAGCCATGAGATTTCAGTGGTGAATGCTGACATCCAAACTTGTGGGGTCGGCCTAATATTTCGCTATTCATTGCTTTCTTAATTTCATTTCGTTGATCTGCAGCCTTTAAAGCACTGGGGAAGACTGGGTGTGATCCCATTGTCACGGAAGCTAACTTTGTGAGAAGGGTTTGGTCTCGTAGGCAGCTATTTGGAGGTGATACTCTAAACAAGAAAATAGAACGTCAGCTACAGCAATATATGCATGTTGAATTCTTAGTGAAGTCAAGGCAAACAACATTTGATCCAATCATGACAGATGATGAAGATATCCAGAGCTTTCTTCGTGAGTTCACTGTTGGGATGACCGGTAGCACAGCCACTGCAATTGCCTTCAGTACATCGCTTGTGACAAGGTCACCAACCAGCAGTCCTACCAAGCAGCCAATATATCAACCAACAGAACCTCCCACAAGCCAACCATCGCTTAAACCAACACCAAATCCAACAGTCACACCAGGTAGCCCCAGTGGCAGTCCAACAACTTTAGCTCCAACTGCTGCACCAACTGATCAACCATCGGACCAACCAACCATTTTGCCAACTGTTGCACCAACCAAGAAACCCACCAGTCAACCAACAAGGATGCCAACAACCCCCCCCCTCAGGTTCTCCAACAAGCAAGCCAACTCCTCTTCCGACAGTATTTCCTGGCTCCCCGAGTGCAACCCCAACATCTGCCAGCCCTACTGGTGCACCAACAGGTGAACCTACCAGAACCGCTACAAGGAATCCTACAAGTAAACCAACTGCAACACCACCAGGCCAACCAACTCAAGTTTGTATTCTTCCATTTATGCTAGTTGAAGCTACGTACTATGTCACATTTGATGAGAATCCTGGGACAGTTTCTGATGTTGATCTTGGAGCTGAGTTTTACAATGGTAAGCTTTGAAATCAAAGTGAAATGATTGCTTTTCTGAAGGCCTCTTACACTGCTTTTGGTTTCCAGCATATGTGTCTTTGGGAAAATCTGGCTGCAATCCAATCATCTCTAAGGCCAGTGTCACAAGAAGGGTGTCTCGCCGTCTTTATTTAGATCAGCTTGACTCTCGTATGTCAGCTGGACGACACCTCCAGTTGGGAATCCAAGTTGAATTTTTGGTGAATTCCATGCAAACCAGCTTTGACCCAATCATGACATCAGAGAGTGATATTGCACAGTTTCTCCAAGAGTTCACTCTTGGGATGACTGGCAGCACAACCACTGCAATTCTCTTCAGTACACTGCTTGTAACAAGGTCGCCAACCACAAGTCCTACCAAGCAGCCAACGTATCAACCTACAGAACCTCCTACAAGTTTACCATCAGATAAACCCATCCCAACTCCAACAGTTACACCAAGTACCCCTAGTGCCAGCCCATCAACTGGAGCTCCAACTGTTGCACTGAGTGATCAACCCTCTGGGCAACCAACCAAGTTGCCGACTGCTGCACCAACCAAGACACCCACGAGTCAACCAACAATGATACCATCAGACCACCCCACAGGTTCACCAACAAAACATCCAACAAGCAATCCATCTAGAGTTCCGACTCCTATTCCCACAGTTGTTCCAGGTGCCCCAAGTGCTAGTCCAACAACTGCCATACCAACAGGTGAACCTACGCCCTCTCCAACCACTGTAGCTCCAACTGATGCACCAACTGATCCATCTGACCAACCAAGCATTTTGCCAACTGTTACACCTACCAAAACTCCAACAGTGGCACCATCAATCCTTCCCTCAATGCTCCCTTCATCTGATCCATCGAACTTGCCTTCTGGCAATCCAACAAATCATCCAACAAGCAATCCAACTAGAGTGCCCA